TCAAAATGCATAAAAAAATGCTTTATTATATAAAAATAAAATAAGGATAAAATTGTCTATATAGAAATTTCTCCAGTTTCTTTCCCTTTTGAACCAAACAATGTAATATTAAAATCCCTTCCATCTACTAAAAACTCTGCTCTCCTTCCTTTTCCCTTCTTTCTATTAAAATCCCTCTCATTCTTTTCCCGTAGTTGAACCAAACATGCACATTCTTAAATTATCCTGTACCAACATACCAGGAATTAATTCTAGCTATTCAAAATTTTTTGAAAAAGCAAGCCCTTAATTACTAAAAATCAGTTTTAAAGTTATTTATAACTCACTGTGGAAAATAAATTCCTCTATAAATTTTATAATTTTCTAAATAATAGTTCATAATTTTTAATAATTATTGTCTCCTTCTTTTTCTTAAAATCTCGCCCAAAAATATTTTTTTTTGCCAAGTAAATTCTTTTTGAGACATCTTTAGTTTATCTAAACCTCAAAAATACCTTAGGAACCTCTTTCCTATCCTCCGGGGTTTTATCGAGTTTTCTCAAATTTTCGGGCATATGCCATGATTATAATGTTCCTTGATAATTCCTCATATTTAGATCTTTTTGCCTTTAACTTCTCATGTTTGCATCTTTGACTAACTTTTTTTCCCCCTCTTACTTTGCCTTACTTTGACTCCATGCACTTTTTATTTACTTTTAATTTCGCCCTTACATGTCAAAATCTCTTATTTAATCAGTATATAAAATACCATATATATTAAAAATATTGCCTGACAAACATGGAAGTCATGGAATCAAATGAGGATGCCGACTGTTTGATTGAAAAGAATATTAAAAAAAATACCAAGTCTTCTAACGAGAAGAAGCTTCGAATGTGACCTATGTTGCTGGGATCAGAGTTTAAAAATAAATAACAAGAAAATTAAAACTTGATAGATGTTAGTATTTCTATAGATCTCTTGTGACACCAGGAAACTAATTCGAAGCTGAGAGCATATTTTAGTCAATACGATACAAAGGTAATCTTCCATCGTTTGAGGAATAATTAAAATTTAAAACAAAATATTAATTCAATTTATTTTTGTCAAATTTTCTTCCTAAATACTTCTTTGGTCTTATTTATAAGGCAGAGTAAAAAGGTATTTTTTGATACTCTTTATAGTGCATTGAAAGAAATTTTTTATCTATAAATGTATAATTTTACCTTTCGTTCATTATTTTGTTGATTTTATTTATATGAGATATAATGTATATTAAATAGAGATAAAATTAAAAAATCGTTAAATTTTAAATCAGAGTTAATAAAGTTTAAGATTTTTTTGTAGCTGTGTGAAACATGATGAAGATAACTTATAAACAGGGCAAGAGAAGTATAATTTTTCATCCTTGATTTTCCCAACTACTTGGCGTTGAAATAGTCAAAGCATTATATATCTCCATTGATTAATTAGGTCATTAGCCTACTGCATTACAATCCTTATTTTCATTTAATTAGGCAAATACACTAACTAAACTATTCCATTATATATCCAAATGTGAACGCAAGAAAATTGAGTCCGAGGCGGTGCCAATTACCCTGACAGATTCACAGCGTTAGCTTGTGGACTCCGTTGCTCTTAAACATAGAGTAGATGACCTCTCTTATTCGGCCATGGAAAAGGAAGACACGGAAATTTAAAGACATGAAAAATTACACATAAGAGTTGGTCCCACTGATAAGGAATTGGTTTATAATTCCTAAAGTCAGCTAATGTGAGGATTTTATTGGTGGGTGATCTGTAAATACCTCTATAAATGCTCTCTGAGTCTAGATGCATGTCCTAGTCCTGGTAAATCTCCGGAACCCAACTTACCTAATCTTCATTTTACCACAAAAAACAAAGACATGAAAAATTAGCAAGGAATTGACTAATAACCTATAAAATTATGAGTTCAAATATTACTGCCAATACACAGGCCTTATTAGTGAGTGGCCTGTAAATACTCTTATAAACACTTTTTGATCCTATAAACATGCATTGACATTCGTGAGTCTGGAGACCAACTCACCTAAAATTTTTCACAAAAAGAGGAAAAAAAAAAAGAAAAAATGATTGGAGTGTGTTTTGATAGTTACTAGCATCGGTCCTATTTATAAAATCTCATTTGTAAATTATAAAAGAGGTCTTATAATTAAGACAAGAACTAGTATAGCCTAGCGCATTTAACACTCTTCCGGGCTACTATCCTGACGTCGCAAGCTGACTGTTGTACGCCCAATGACAATGGGTAGTGTGTTTTGAGGATCCTCCTGTCCGTTACGAATTTAAAAAAAATAAATCTTGAAAAATGATTAACCGTGGTGGTTAAAGGAAAAAAGGGAAATTAATTTGCAAATTTTTATAGTTTTACCAATTTTTAAACTGCTCTTCGTAGCTTTTCCTTTTTCTTTTCATCACATATGTATAGTTTTGCTTAATTTTTACTTAGGTTCCCGTAATTTTTTTAATTATATTCTTATAATTTCACGTGATTTTTTTTGTAAAGATTTCACCTAATTTTGTAGTAAGGTCTTTGTAGTTTTTTTTATTAGCCACATGAAAATACAAGATTCTCATTGTAAATCAAGTAAAATTATAATTAAAGAACTAATATAAAGAACAAGAATTAAGAGATCTAATAAAAATCAGGTGAAATTATTAGGATCTGATTAAAAAAAACTAACGGGACTTGATTGAAAAATAAAATAAAATTACAAAAAATTACAACAATGTGTTGATTTTTTTTCCCCAGAGAAGAAAGACAGGCAAGTTTCTTGATAACTCCCAATGGGTCAATCACTCAACATCATCATTAATTTGCAAGATCCGTACAATAATGAAGAGGCATTGCATTTTCCAGTGGGAAAGCATCTGATCAATCGCAATCCATTTGTGAACAGTCATTATGTTTTCCTGGACTTTGGTGAAGTTTGAAAGCAATATTTACTACTCCCTTTCACAAAAAGAGGAAAAAAAAAAAGGAAAAATGATTGGAGTGTGTTTTGATAGTTACTAGCATCGGTCCTATTTATAAAATCTCATTTGTAAATTATAAAAAAGGTCTTATAATTAAGACAGGAACTAGTATAGCCTAGCGCATTTAACACTCTTCCGGGCTACTATCCTGACGTCGCAAGCTGACTGTTGTACGCCCAATGACAATGGGTAGTGTGTTTTGAGGATCCTCCTGTCCGTTACGAATTTAAAAAAATAAATTCTTGAAAAATGATTAACCGTGGTGGTTAAAGGAAAAAAGGGAAATTAATTTGCAAATTTTTATAGTTTTACCAATTTTTAAACTGCTCTTCGTAGCTTTTCCTTTTTCTTTTCATCACATATGTATAGTTTTGCTTAATTTTTACTTAGGTTCCCGTAATTTTTTTAATTATATTCTTATAATTTCACGTGATTTTTTTTGTAAAGATTTCACCTAATTTTGTAGTAAGGTCTTTGTAGTTTTTTTTAAATCAAGAAAGAAAACTTTTAAAAGAGCTATTTACTTCTAGGTTTGATAATTTAAATCTGACTTAATAATATTAAATATCAAATATTGCATAGAAAAAGAAAGAAAATTGTTATATAGAAGCAGCTTGCATGCGTATGAATTCTAGCGCAACTCGGTCATTGCCTTGTCGGGTCGAAGAAGTCAGTGGAGGAGTTAAATTTCCTGGCACTCGCTGGAACAACGATCACAAAAAAAAAAAAAATCAAAAACAGAAGACGCATAAAGTCGTATAATTGGAAAAAAAATTAAATCACGTCAAGTAGACCCACAAAGTCACATCAAATCGCTTGGGCCACTGCCTAGGTGCCAGGTGAACCTTAAACGATAAGATGGCTTTCGAAAGTACCTTCGATCATTTCCAACCATCAAATGACATTAAAATTTCAAATTAAAAATTCAGTTAGATTGATTGGGATAAGATTCAGAGAAAATGACGAAAAAGAACCTTAAATATAAAAAAATTGAAAAAGGCAGCTAAAACTTTCAAGCAAGAAAAAATGAGAGAAAATCTGAATTGAAATTATGAAAATGTTAAAAAATGATTAATATGTCTTTACGTGATGCTAAGAAAAGGACATTATTATTATGTATTTCAAACTTATTAATTATTTGCATATTAAATTTAGTTATTTTTTTAAATGGACATATGCTTTTACCTTAGAAAAAGATTAAAGAATGTTAATTCTGTATTCCAAACTTATTAATTTACATTAAAATTTTATTATTTTCAAATCAAATATAGTCATTTTTCAAACAAATATAAGGGTATATTGGCAATTTTTCTATATTTTCATAATTTCAATTGAGACTGTCTTTTATTCCATCTCATTTGGAAGGGTTAGCTGTCTTTTTAAAATTTCTTATTTTCAAGATTCTTTTTTTTGGTCATTTTCCCTAAGATATAAAATAAAAGAATAAAAAAATTAATTAAAAAATTTTAACTCAATTTTTTTTGCAAATCAATTTTCTTAAAATTCTCTCCCTCCTTTCGTTCTCCTCCAATCAAATAAAAATTAGAATCAAAACAAAATTTTCAACTAGATAACTTCTACATTTATGAGGAGAAAGAATAACTTCATGCAAATAAGAAATTTTGGTGCTCACTGTAATTATAAGCATCATAGTACTTATTATTATCCTTAGATCTTTACTGTTTAAATACAGTTTTAATAATCCAAATTTAAAAATTTTAACTAATAATTTTTAAAGAAGAAATTAGGGTGTGGTTTGAAAATTAAAAAATTATAAAGTTCAGAGTATAAATTAATGCAAATTACAGGGATCGAATAATAAATTTTATCCACAGGTGAGAATAATTGGAGTATATGCCTTGTCGAAACAGAAGCTGGTGGCTCTTAATATAAGCCAAGTCATTCCTCAAACTGCCTGCATTTTGAACAAACGACTCTCTCTCTCTCTCTCTCTCTCTCTCTCTCTCTCTCTCTCTCTCTCTCACACACACACACACACACACACATGGAGATATCTCTGCACAAGAGTAAAACCCATCTGCTTCCTCTTTTGTTCATAACCAAAATTTTCTTGTTTCTCACAATCAATGCTAGTGCGACCTCAATAACCTTCAATTATGAGCAATTTCGTGATGTGGATCATCAGAACTTGAACCTTCAAGGAGAAGTTTTCCAGGAAAATGGGATGCTCAACCTCACCAGGTAATTAATATGTACATCATCAATAGCTTCTTCTGGCCAAAAAATATACTCTTCCGATCCTTAATATAGGACTCAATTTTGAGTTAGTTTTTATCCTAAATATAATATCCATTTCTTATATTTATCAATTTTCTCTAAATTACCCTTATGGATACTCCCTTAACCATAATTAAGTAGAAGAAGGAGAGGGGTATTAAGAAAGATGATTATGGTGTTTTAGGAAAAATGTGTCACATTTCTTATAATTAACTAACTTACCTAACTTCCTTAATTTAATCAAATTAATTAAATGGGTCTTATATTAAGAACCGAAGGAGTATTATAGTTGTTTGCTTTGGATTCCTTTCAAAATATATTCTTTTTTACTTTTGTCTTATGATATACACCCTCAAATCTTATTTATAAATCATGCAATCTATAGATACTTTATATGTTTAAAATCCCTTTACAAGTTGAATATGGAATTTGTGCATTTCCTCTTTCAAAAGGGTACTAGCCTCACTTGAAAATTGGTCTATTTCAAAATTTAAATGAACAAATTGTTGTTGGTCGTTGAATAAATAAAATTACTTAAATGGTGTAAGGTGGTTATGAAATTTGCGCAACCCTTCTGTTAACCAGTTTCGGTGCTATCACTTGGCTCATGAGCACCAAATCTCAACCATATATTTATATTAAATTTAATGATCTAAATTTAATATAATTTTTTAGTGGTTTAATATTCTAATATGTATACGACAAAAAAAAATAAAGATTATCCTTAAACTAAATTTTAAAAATGTTTTTTTTAAAAAAATTTTTAAAAAATATTCCTTCCGGTCCTAAATATAAGACCCATTTTATAGTGTAAATTACACTATAAAATAGGTCACAAAATAGGTCTTATATTTAGGACCGGAAGATTAGTTTGAATTAATAAATCCTCTTTGTTGAAAAACACCAACTTGGCTTGAGAATTCAACTATTTTACTTGAACTAAATTATTTAAAAATAGGGAAATGACTTTTAAAAACACCAGGGGGGGGGGGACCAAAAGTGACCCCACTGCTAGCAGGTCTCCGATGGCCAAATGGTCATTGCATTCAGGTTCTTAACCTTTTTAGTGGCCAGCAGGCAGCCGCAGGTCGGTAGGCAGGCGAAATGCATGTGATATATTTTTTTGGGTAAGAACTTAAGCCAAGGATCTTGGTGATTCCATTGGATTTCACTACTTTGAGGTATTCAAATGTAATTATTGGCTTACAAGTTCCGTAATGATAAATTTCTCTTCATATATGACATTTGGTCATAACTAATTTAAAAAAATTAAATAAATTAGTTACATTAATTATTTATAACAAATTTATGTTGACTTTTTCTAAAGTATCATATTTAATTGTGTACATTAGAACTACTCTTTAGTAAAAACCTTTAAAATCAACACAAATATTTTATAAAAAAAACATTGTAAATTTGAAAAAACAAAATGGATTGAAATCTTATATTTAGAATTGGAATTAGTATTTAGATGGAATCCACTATTAAAGTGAATCTTATATATTAATTATGCATTATTTATTTGTAATTGTCATGAACTAAAAAGATAAATCAATCATACTTGATTTTTTTTCAGATAATTTTCAAGTTCAAGCCTTGGGAGTGAAATAAATTACTTAAAGAAAGCAAACCATATGTGGCGATCTAAAAACTTAAATTTTGATTAGTTGATGGTATTAAATAGTAGATGGTTAATTATGGAGAACAGAGTTAAAAGGGCAAAATTCCGTCAAATACTCTAATCTTATTTTTTCAGTGCATAAAAAATAAAATCAAGATGCTAGCTGTACCAGAAAAATAAAATTATAATGCTAGATTCATATGAGAAATAAGATCACGATACTGGATGTACATTTATCCTTAAAAAAATAGGTAGTCAAATTCCTTCAGTCTTACGTATAAAAGTTAGTTATGGTCAATTTTAGTGCTAAATATAAAACTCAGTATTTTATTTTCCAAATTATTTATATTGATTACACTTGTTAACGGTTCCAGTATAAATAATTAAAGAGGATATACTATAAAAACCAACACATACTCTTAACAAATAATTTAACTATTTTTTTCGATCTCCACATACTAATTATCTAGCCATCTAAGCCACACGACTTCATCAAAAGATGATGCATGCAAAGACTCGCTAATGACCACCAACACAAGGTCAAAACGTAGGTATAAGCTCAGTTTACTCGAATGATGGATTTTGGTGTCATTTCCCTGGCACACGCTTAGTAGTCATATAATTTGATGTTATCCGATCTCTACAGTTCAACTAAGGTGGAAGATATATATAATACATAAAAATGCCTATGTATAAATTTGTTATGAATCTAACAATCTGATTCCTGACTCAGGTATAAGAAAGACAGTGCCGGGAGAGTAACATACAACAACTCATTGCAACTTTGGGACAATGAGACAAGAACACTTGCAAACTTCACTACTCGTTTCACCTTCATCATCAATGTACTAAATGAATCTCGTGATGGAAAAGGAGATGGCATCACATTCTTCTTGGCAGAGCCTGGATTTCCGTTTCCATCTCCCCCGGATGGCACAGGTATTGGTCTTGTAAGTCGCGCACAGATGCAGGATCAAAATTATCTCGACGAGCATCCATTCGTAGCAGTAGAATTTGACACCTTTTCCAATACGGATGTGGGTGATCCACCCTATGATCATGTGGGAATCCTTGTAAAAACAATGCAGACTAATTATAGAACACAATGGTACACTATGAATGATGGTAGAAAGTATGATGCTGAGATTACTTACGATTCTAGCTCATTCCAGTTAAGCGTCATGTTTACAGGATACAAGGATAACGTCAAAATCAGACAAAATTATTCCCATCAGATTGATTTGAGAGACTACCTACCAGAAGAAGTTCAATTTGGAATCTCTTCAGCCACAGGATTACGGTTTGAGTTACATACACTGTGTTCATGGTCCTTTAATTCAAGTCTTGAAATGCCCGGAGTGGTGCAAAGGAGTAAAAGCAATAATAAGCGTTTGGTCATTGGAGTGAGCATCGGATCAGTTGTAGTTATTGTTGGGTTATGCATAGCTTTGTTTCTGGTATGGAGGTCAAATTGTAGGGTGAAAAGACGTGATCGCTTGGATCTTTCCCTGGACAAAGATTTTGAATGTGTTGGACCAAAGAAGTTTTCCTATAATGAACTTGTCAGAGCCACAAATAACTTCGCAGAGGAACATAAACTCGGAGAAGGAGGTTTTGGTGGGGTCTACAAAGGATTTATCAGAGATTTGAATTCTTATGTTGCAGTAAAGAAGGTTTCCCATGAATCTAGACAAGGAGTTAAGGAGTATGCTTCTGAAGTAAAGATCATCAGTCAACTGAGACACAAGAATTTGGTGCAACTCATAGGGTGGTGCCACGAGAAGAATGATTTTCTACTTATCTATGAGTTCATGCCAAATGGAAGCTTAGATTATCATCTATATCGAAGCAGAAACCTTTTGACATGGCCAGCCAGATACAATATTGCTAAAGGCTTAGCCTCAGCAGTACTATACCTTCATGAAGAGTGGGAGCGATGTGTGGTTCACAGGGACATAAAATCAAGCAACATTATGTTAGATTCGAATTTTGATACAAAGCTTGGAGATTTTGGGTTAGCGAGGCTTGTAGAACATGGAAAGGGGTCAGAAACAACAATTGTTGCAGGAACAAAAGGGTACATGGCTCCTGAATGTGCAACCATAAGCAAGGCAATAAGGGAGTCTGATATATACAGTTTTGGAATTGTTGCTCTAGAAATAGCTTGTGGGAGAAAGCCAATTGACCACTATGCTCCTAATGACCAAGTCATGATGGTGGAATGGGTATGGGAACTCTATGGCAAAGGTGAGCTTCTTGAAGCAGCCGATAAGAGGTTTGATGGAGATTTTGATGAGCAAGAACTTGAAAGGTTAATGATTCTTGGGCTATCGTGTGCTCACCCAGATTATACTATGAGGCCTACAATTAGACAAGCACTTCAGGTACTTAACTTTGAAGCTTCACTGCCTACTCTCCCACCAACAATGCCTAAAGCAACATATGTTGCTCCATGTTTTTCTGATATTGGTTCTTCAATTTATTCATCTGCATATGCTAGTTCTTCTGCAACCAATGACCCAAGGCCTTCAACCAATAGTAGGTCATATACCAGGTCCTCACAATATTCATCCAATTCAGGGCACTCGTCTACAAAGGGACAATTCTGAATGAATTGGATTTTCCAAGCTTCAATTTCAGACTTGGACTAATGCTAGTTCAAGTCAGAATTGATTTCCTTTCAATTACTCATTAGTAGTTCAGGTAAGCAAGGAGAGAAGTTGAAGTTGGTGCAACCTATCCCACATGGGTTCAATTCTTCTCTATCTCTCCACTTAAGCAATTGAGAGGATTTAAAGTTATTCCCTCATTTTCCCTTTCATGTGATCTCAGCTTAGGAGATGTTTGGGTGGAAACCAAATTATGATTTTAAAAGTGATTTTATGGTATACGAACCATATATGTCGAAGAGTTTATCTCAATTTGCGAAAAATGCTTTTCAAAAGCATTTTTATAATTTGCCAAACACCCCCTTGTTATATGTAATAATTCCCAACAAGCAAACTTCAACCATCTAAGAATCTTCTGTATCTTTTGGTAATATGAATGTTATTTGACTAAAAACATGTGATATTGTTTATTCGCTTTCATTTATTTAATTTCATTTTTTAAGCCCTTTGTTTACCTGGAAACTTAAATATGGTTGCATTGTCTGAGTTTGTATCTCTTCGAAGTGTATGTGTGTGAGAATCAAGTTTTGCATAACCCTTTTTTCCCTTAATAACCTTTCAATTTTGAACCACTCAGCAACGCTTTTCTATTGTTTTTATTTTTATTTTCTTCAATGTTTGAAAAATAATTGCTGTCAAATATTCTCATATTAGAACTTGGGCAATTAAAATATCCACTGAAGCAAAGAGTTATTACTTAACCTTTTTGAAGAATTCTCAAGTAGATATGGATATAGGCCAGTTCATTATGATGGGAAATTGGCCTTGTTTATCCTATCGGTGCCTAAAATCTGAGTTTATAATAGTTCCAATATGTTCATTATTGAGTGTTAAAGCTTTTTCTGCTTTTCACGTATCTTTATGGGTTCCTTCCATTAATTGTTGAACATATACGGAGGGATTGGGGACTGGACGGGGGAGGCCATCTTACAGGGTGCAAAGTTGAGAACGAAGAACAAAAATTTACATGGGTAAGGATTTGTGTAATACCTAACTCTAAGAACCTAACTTTGAATTCAATCTTCATTTATTAACAACAGTTACAACTTTACTCCAAAAAGGTAAAATTTTAAAACTTTTTATCTAACTTTGAATTCAATCTTCATTTTTCTAAAAGTTTTATGCTATAAAATGAGACTCAAATTCGCTCTCAAACTACCTGTTAGCAATAACTATATATACACCCCTAAACCCCCAACCACTCTTCCTTATGGAGGTACATATAATTATAACAGTACAATTTACATGCTTCACAAATAGGGCAAAATATAAACACATAAAATGTTACGAAAGGGAATATAAACACAACATATTAATTTTTCTCATTGATTTACTAATCAACTAATTTCTTCTTCTCTTCCACCTTAGCTACACTCCCACCAACTTCTTATTCCTCTTGGATCTACTGGGCCTTATGGTTACATAGAAAAGAGGGGTGAGATTCCAAGAATCCCAGTAACAGTAATCATATTTCATATATTATACATGGTATAAAACTGAGCATGCAAAACAAGTCATGGAGAACAATGCCTTACAAAAAAACTAAACTAAACTGAATAATCAACTGAAGCATATTCGCTATCATAGAACTGAATCTCATATAACTGTTGCGCATAACTAAGTAACTGAATAAGTGAATAACTGTGAAGCTGCTAACTGATTAACTGAATAACTGTGTAGCTGCTATCTGATTAACTGAATATTGTGCAGCTGCTAACTGATTAACTGTTAAATACGCTTATACTGGATAGCGAAATGCATGCACATGACCATAGCAATAACTGGTAAGGCAATTTACATGTTTTCATGCTTAACTATAACATTATAGCACAAACAGACATGCAACCAAAACAAAACATACAAAATAATGATTAAAGCTACTTTCGCTTGCTCCCCTATGCTGGTACCTCACTTTGAGTTTCTTCTTGGTACGGCAGGCTAGCAATCAAATCCTAACATTACGCGCTCGCGCTGTGTGTGTAGGCACAGATGCGGGCACGGCCAATCAAATCCTAACATTGCGTGCATGCGTGCTCTCCTCCCATAAGGTGATTGGTCATCTTACACAAATTCCCATATTTAATCTTTATATTTCAAAGGTCTCTAAAACCTCCCCTTTTTCTTGCCTTCCTCTTGCTTCTTAGTTCATTATGATTTAGTTAAAATAATGAGATTCGAGCAAGTTTTCAACTTCAGAACATTAACAAAGCATAAAATCATTATAGAATTTAAGCAATGCCATTCAAATTCGTTCTATAACTCTTTGAAACTTTACTTAATAAGCTTTAAATCAATCCCACATTTCAAAATTCTAGCATGACTAATTGACTATGACATTCAAAACATCATTTCTTTTCATTTAGTTATAAGCATATTTTCAGCATTTTATGCAATCAATCATTCAGCAAAGAATCAAATAGCAAGCTTTATGGTCACAGTTTCAGTGGTAGCTATTTTCCTATAATCAAAATAGCTTAAAACACGACACATTATTAAAATAAAAACACTTCAAACATTTTCGGACAGCAACTCCTTCTATTCACTTTGAGCCATTGATTTAACTAAAAGTAGCTTCTTTTAAAAGCATTTCAGCAACAACAATCAACACACACAAAATGAATTCAGCTTCCACAAACTTGGTTTTCTCCTTAAAACTTTGGACAACCTTGTGCTTTATTCTGGAAATTTCTAGAATTAAAATCATTCTTCACATTCCAGATTTCATTCCATTCATCTCTACACGGTACGCCAATCATATATAATACATAACTATTAGCTTTTAGATGCTATTGTGCTCATTAATAATCATCTAACATCCAAAGTAGTTCTCTAACATAACACAGCAACACACACAGTTATATATATTTATGCATGTGTGAGCAACTTAGGGACATTTAATTTAAAATGCTCTTCTTTCATTGCAGCAATAAAATTTTAATCACAGCAATTTCAATCCTTTCATTATAACCATTCTGCCATTTACTTTCACTAATCAATTTCTAAATATTATTTCTTTTCAAAGTTGGGCATCTCCTATTTCTCAGACCCAGAAAGTGTATTTAATAATCCATATACTCCTTTACTTAAGCGTATTAAATAGCAGGTTCTCTACATATAGCTTTCAACAACAATCTGAACTAGCTTGTAGTCAAAACAGCTGGAATCTAACAAGCTTATGTTCCCATATTACCAATTGTACTCATTTTCATACCATTCTCAAGAGGAATGAACATATTTCCTTCAAACAAGAAGCTGTAAGCTTGGCAGTGGCAACCAATGACATGTAATATATATAAGATTTGATTAACATTCCTTTAAACATCAATGAATAAACTTATTCCAGCTCTTAAATTTCAGAATTCAAACCTCAGTCCCAAGCATTAAATCGAAACCATACACGCACACATACACTAGCATGCGATTATTTTATGCCATTCTTATCTAAACACAAAATCGGTCATCTAAATTCAAGAACTCCTTTTTATGATAGTCAATATAATAGAGAAGAAACAAGAGATTCTCGGTCTCGGCAATCAAAAGTCAAAACAGAACAACCGCATACGCATCACAAAATTCCTATTTAAGCTTTGTTCTACTCCTATAAACCATCTCTTAAATCTGTCGATGTTTCGCCCTTCCCCTTAACAACAAAAGGTCACTCTTAACTCTCCAAGTAGTATTCTAATGCTGAGAAAGAGGGTAGAAGGAGCATTAGAAGGTTTACCTTCGTTGGATCCTAGCTTATATGCGTCGAATCTTCCTCTTTCCCTTTCTTTCTTCTTCCTTTCTCTTCTGCCACCAAATCGCACCCTTTCTGTCTCTCTCTTTTCAGGTTTGCGCACGAGTGAAGTGAGCGCAAAGTGTGCTCCATAAGGAGAAGAAGCAGAGATGTCGTGGCAAAGGAAATTTGGGAAAGAGGACACGTATACGATGAGTCATCAAGCCACCACGTTTAGGGAAATTCTTACATACACCCAGAGCAGAGCACCCAATCATTCATGTTCAAGTTCTAACTAATAAGAATTAGCCACGTCACTGAATTTAATCTGAGGTGTATGCTGTCTAGAGATTCGTGCCGTCGGAACTCACCCCTTTCTTTCTTTCTTTTTTTTTTTTTTTTTAACTCTCTCTCCATGTTAGCTTTTTCTGGACAATCCCAGGAGTTCTGAAACCGATTCTTCCTACCCTAGCTTCAATCAACCACGACCATGGCCACAAATATACCCACAAGAGCGATCCCGGTAACGAAGGTCTTACTAACGGAGAATGCCGCAAAGGGTAGTGCAGGAGATTCGGCAGATGGCTTACAACAGGGCCGCCGCCGGTAGGTTAAACGCTCTTGGGAGCAGGTGCGGGTGGGGAATTAGCAGGTGATGCCATTGGTGAAGGAGTGCTGGGAGCTGGTGCTATAGCTGGAGGTGGAGTAGCAGGTGGCGAAATGGCCGGCGGCAGGTTGCAGGGAGCAGGTGCGGTGGCTTTCATTGGGGTTGCAGGGACCGAGTAGGTGCAGCTCTTGAGGTTTGAGCAAAGCAAGAAGTAGCCAAAAAGTTTAAGATGATGAATACTCGAAGAGTAGCGAAAACTATGACGAGATCTGAAAATGAAACTCAGATAACAGAGAACGAAATATGAGGAAAGCGTAAAGATGGTGCATTCGGTGATGTGATCTTTGTTTGCAGTGATTTTTTGTAAAAAAAAAAATAAATGATAAAAAATAAATTTAAATATAAAAGGGCAAATTGCAAATAAAAACCCCCAAATATGTAAAATTACAATTTGGAATCCTAAATTTGAAAAATAGCAAATAAGGACCCAATTTTACTTTTGTAAATATGAAATGTGGGTGAAATATCTGACATGCCCCTCAGTCAAATGACAAATTGACTATGAGAAATGATAAGTTCACTTTAGCGAATGACAATTTCAATAGACCAAATCACAACTTGACTGAGAATATACTAAATGACGAGTTGATTATGAGAAATGACAAGTTCATTTTAAGAAATGAAAACTTCAGTAAACCAAATCATAATTTGGTTGAGAGGTATTTCAAACATTTTACCCATATTTCATATTTACAAAAGTGAGACCGAGTCCTTATTTGTTATTTTTCAAATTTAAAGTCCCAAATCACAATTTTCTATATTCGGGGGTCTTTATTTGTAATTTTTTCAATATAAAATGATTAGAAAACACATAAATTTTATTAAGTAATATTATAATGTGACACTCATTAAAAAAAAAACGAAAAACGATAAAAAAATGATAAATGAACTTCATAATGTTAATAATATCACTTGAATTTGAAAAATCCCAATTTAGTCCTAAGTAACTAATTTGACATTTATAAATTTACTGAAATGATCATATTGCTCGTTTTTTAAAAATCCAAAACCTTCACCAGCCGGCCGGTTGCCAAAGCACCGGTGGCAGCTACAACGGCAATCACCGAAGCTCCAATGATTAGCCAATAATTGGTTGTTGGAGTTTCGACAGTCAGAAACAATTTTTTTGAAAATTTTTACAATTTCGGTATAATGGTTAACAACTTTTGTAATGCTATTAACAAAATCAGTATAACAGTTAATAACAGTTTTCCAGGAAATTCAACAATTGATTGCCAGAGCTCTGGCAACCAGAAACAGTTTAAAAAAAAAAATTTATAACTTTAATATAATGGTTAACAGCTTTCGTAACGCTATTAACAACTTCAGTATAATAGTTAACAACGGGTTTTTCAGAAAATTCAAAAAGTAGCATTTTTACAATTTCAATAATGTCGTTAACAAATTCCGTAACTTTATTAACAATTTCAGTATAGTATTTAATAACAGGTTTTCTTAAAAATTAAAAAAGAGAGGCATTTTTATAACTTTAACAACTATTTTTTTAAAAAAATTTTTTTACAGCTTTAGTATAATGGTTAACAACTTTTGTAATGCTATTAATAACTTCAATATAGTAGTTAACCTTTTCAAAAAATTCAAAAAGTAGCATTTTTACAATTTTAGTAATATCATTAACAAATTCAAAATCTGTTGTTAACCTCTATACTGAAGTTGTCAATAGTGTTACAAAAGTTGTTAACCTTTATACTTAAATTGTAAAAATCTTTAAAAAATTTGTTTCTTTCTACCGAAACTCTGGCAACCAATTGCTAAATTTCCTGAAAAACTATTATTAACTGCTATACTGAAGTTGCAAATAGCATTATAAAAGTTGTTAACTGTTATACTAAAATTGTAAAAAAATTTCAAAAAAATTATTTCCTGCTGTTGGAGCTCCGTTGACCAATTGTCGGCTTGTCACAGGAGTTCCATCGACCGGCTAGCAGTGGGGGCTTTGATTTTTTAAAAATAATAAATAAAATGAATGGTAATATTTCAGCAAATTTATAAATGCCAAATTAGTCATTTGTGACTAAATTGGGATTTCTTAAATTTAGTTAATACTTTTGGCATTATAAAATTTATTTATCATTTATTTATCATTTTTCCTTAAAAAAATATTGAAAATAATAAAATATTAACTAAAATAATATTATATAAATTATATAGTAAGTTCTAAGCAATAAAATAAGAACAAAAAGATGTTTCTTTTACAAAAAAAAAATCTAAACATTAAGTAAATAAATGAAAAAATGGTATGGTGTTTTTTTTTTTCCAATTTTATGTTCACTATTCATTTATTTTGATAATTTATGCTCAGTATTTACTAACAAAAATATTATCCTCAATTTATTGTTCAACATTTACATTTTGTGAATGTTAAAAAAAAAAAAGAAGACTGTTCATGTTCAATGATATGTATGATGTCTTCTCTTTCTTCTCTCCTTCCCTCTTACACACCCTCCTCATCCCAAAAGCACAAAAAACAAGCTTATGCTCAAAAGCTCGTCAGATCCAATAAGTCTATCACTAAAAGAAGTCAATCTAAACAATTTCAAAATTCAAAAAGTAGCTTTTACAGGTGAAAACGAATGTTTAGGCTATAAAACGCGATCCTAAACACAGCCATAATCCGTCAAACAAATTTCTAGTGAAATTACTTCAAAGGACCAATTTGTAAGTGCTTATTTTTACGGTTCTTTTCATGATTGAAGCTTCAGCTGTGTTTTGGGTTGAAATGCTTCAACAAATATATTATGAGTATGAATAAAGTATACGGATGAAAGAACAATTTTCGTATAGCTTTTGAGTACCAGGAGGGAGTTTCAGAAAAAAAAGGTGAAGAGGGGGACGGATGGATGCCAAGAGACAGGTGAGCGAAACCAAAGAAAGTGGGCACGGATCTTTAGAAGAGAACATTATTTGGATTAAATTGTTAAACTCTCATAAATTAAAAGGGTGACAGCTCAGCTTACACATCAGATTATATTCAATGATGTGGCATAGTTTTATGGTTCAGAGCATGAAGAATGTGGTGCTCGGGTCTATACAAGAGGCTCTCCCAAGTTTATTATTTCATTCATACATTCATCCTAAACTTATCCAGTAAGCTTACTAGGCTAACACTCCCATCATCCAGATTTTTAATTCCTCTGCCCTAGAATAACCAAAAAAAATTTCCTCTGGCCCAGACCCACGAGTTGGGTTTCTAATTGGAATGTGCCCACGTAATTTTCCACTAATGGGTAATGAGTTAACTATTTCTTGTTTCCTTTTTTTTTTAATATTTCTTTACGAAACAACTCTTAAAAATTAATCTGGAATACATTATATGAACTTTTCTCCTCATTTGACTTCCTAAGCTCATAAAATAATTTTCCAAAAATTTTCAGATCAAAAATTAAGCTTTAACTATTTTTCTTGAATTGCTGAAGAAAATAACTCTTTAATTTAGGAAATCAACTTTTAAATTATTTCTACCCCTCTTTGGAAAATAAAATCTTCCATAAACTCTTTTTATTTTTCAAAATGATAATCTATCTTTAATTATTATAGACCTTTATCTATTTTTAATAATTATTTCTTTTTTAATTTTTTTTCTTGAAAATCGGCTTTTATTTTATACTTATTCTCAGAGGCCTTGACTAATTATTTTAGCTTCTTAGACATCTTATAAATTTCTAGCTTCAAAATTGGGGATATTACAATTTGAGTGACAACGAAGAGCTTTTTTTTTTTTTGTCTTGTTTTTAAAACAATTTTTAAATTGTTTCCTAAAACAAGTTTTAAAAACAAAAAAAATTATTTGAAAAATAAACTTTAAAAAATCACATTTGAAAAAAAAATCCTTGGGATGTGGTAGTCATCAGTGATATGTAACAGATAATAGGTGCGAAGGAAAAAATTCTCAAATTTTCAAAATAAAAAATAAAAAACACAAAAACAAAAATAAAAAAATGTAAAAATTATTTTAGTTTTTTAAACCAATCAACTAAAAATTAAATTATCAAACAAATTCTGTTATTCTTATATTTTTAAAAATAAAAAAAAATTGTTTTCAAAACAAACACCAACAACTCAAAATCCTTCGACTTCTCTCTCTTTCTCAATCTCATAGGTCACGGCCAAGCACATAAAGTCTGAGCTCTTTGATCGCCCACTTTGTACCTCTTTCAAGGTTCTTGACAAGGAGTCCATCGACTTCGTCTTCGTCTTCGTTTTCGTCTCCGTTCCGAACTTCGGCATATGGTGAGAAGCTAGAGTAAGATCTGTCCAAAACTCAGATCTAGAACGAACGTCAGAAGAAGACAATATGGACGTTAGGTGACTTCTAGTTTACCGTTGCTGCACCGCCTTCTCGCATTCCCAAATCATGAAGAGTCGAGAGGCACCACTTTATATATATAAAAAAAAAAAAGCTTAGTCACCAGAAGAAAAATGGCAACTCATATTGTTAAGCCGTGTCAGCACAGTTAATTAACATAAGGAGTTAGAGCCTAACGGTCTTAAGCTACAAGGACCCATGCTTAAAAAAAAAAACTCTAGGGACCTTGACCAGTTTGATTAAAGCTGTAAGGACCTAAAACACAATTCCTCTTTTGTTTATCAAATTCTTATAATTTCATCTAGCTTTTAATCAAATTTTTTGTTTTTTCTTATTACATGCTTTTCCCTTTTTATCAGCCACCAGAAGCTAGAAACCTCACTGTAAATCGGCGATATAATGACCTGATAATAAAGAAAAAATTGTAGAGAATTTATTAAAAATAAGGTCATTAAAATTATAACGACTAATTGATTAATTTTTCCCAAAAAAGGACTCGCAAGTTTCTTGACTTCTTCGACTATACATATAAACGTCTCTTCTTGAAAGCTCGGACACCAGCATATTTCCTAGCCAAATCAGATCAAATGTTGCTAATATTAATTTTTTTTCCTCCTCATACATCGTGCCTTTTCCTTAAGCTGCAGCTTTACCAGTTTCCAGCCCAATGATTATAACAAGATATCGTGTGAATTATGAGCTTATAGTACAGAATCATGTTGGATTGTTACGTTCAGATTCTATGTTCCTTTTCTCATATTTTAAGAAACCGAAATTATGTTATATTATTGTTCATTTATGCTCATTCCACTTGGGAGCTGCTTAAGCGAAGTCATTGCAAATGGGATGTGATGTCATAGTATGTTTTTCTAATAAGTTAAAGGAAATTAATAATAAACGAAGAAGACAAATGCATATGGATCTCTGAAAACGTGGTTACGCTGTTCATAGTCATAAATATATTAAAAAATCATGTCAATTGTCAATGGCCTTGCAATATGAAGTCCTTCCTCAAACACTGGGTGCTCAAAACCGTGGTTTCAGAAGCACTTTTCCGCAAAACGAGATAACCTTCTCCACATATTTATTTCGTAATCCGCAAAAGCACTTCTGAAACCATGGTTTGGTTTCTATCCAAACACTTCCACTTGGTTGCCCCAAAAATACGTTAGAAACCTCTTTCCTATTTTCTTCGGTTTTCTCAAATTTTCGGTCATTTGTCCATAATTATAGTTTTATTTGATAATTACCCGTATTTGTGTTTTTCTGCCAACTTCTCATTTTTTCCATTTTTTGGTCCAACTATCTTTGACTTTTCCTCTTATTTTGCCTTATTTTGAATCCACACTTATCATTTTACTTTTAATTTAGAAGGCAATCCATGTCATATTCTCTTATTGAATTGCCATATAAAAGGGGAAATCATAATTAAATTCTGTTGAACTACCGAAATCAAAATTCATCACAAATTCCTAATAATCAAGTCAAGAGGTTTACTTGGAAATTTTTTAATGTTGTTTAAAAAAAAAAACTAAAATGTTTCTCTATATATAGTTAAAAATGACATTAAAATTTAAAGTCAATAACGAAAAACAAATGGAAGCACTATTTTAAGCTTTCATGGGTTGTCAAATCCAGATTCTAAAATAAAAAAAAGTAATGTCATTTATTTCAGGACCTAACATAACCAAAATCAACAAGTTTTTTCTGGTTTTAAGCTATATACTTCAGATAACATTAATAATTTTTGTTCTTTAAAAATAGGGTTTATTATGTTGTATCTTTTTACTATTATTGCTATTTATTCAAAAAAAGAAAAACCAAAACCCACAAGTATCTGACCCTTAAATAAACCCCAAAAGAAGCTTATACATGAGAACGTTTTGTTTTTCGTCTATGTAACTAAATCGGTGTTCGATGATCTCTTGCTAATGACAGCATCTATTAACTGGAACAACGAACACTGGCAAAAGAACCCTATTCTTGATATTTTCATTTTCAATCTGTAATTGTCCTAATTTTTTTTAAAAACATATTCCACTCAGAACCTGCAAATAAATTACAGAGGGACGTACAAATAGTCCTTCTATTTATTATTTAATTTAAATGTAAATTTCCATTTTAACTATAAATGGGCCTTCGGACTTTTTAACAACACTTGGAAATTTTTAATGAGACTTAAAAGTGTAGAGTCGAATTTAAATTTTAATATTTTAAACAGATTTAATTAGAATTTTTTCATATAAAATACCTAATGTGAAAAGAAAATTGCTTGAGAAACATGGAAGTCTTGGAATTAAATGAGGAAACCAGCTGCTTGATTGAAAGGAATATTGGAAAACAAACTAATTCTTCTAACTGGAAAAAGCTTGGAATGTGACTTCTGCTGAGATCAGAGTTGAAAAACAAATAACAAGAAAATTAAAACTTGATATTAATAATTTATAGATCTCGTGTGACGTCAGGAAATTAAACTTAGATGACGGTTTGATTATAATTTTTTTATCCCATTTCCTTCCTAAATATAATTTTCCAACGTTGATTTTCCCAACTACTCAGCATTGAAGTAGTCAAAAACATGGTCAGATCTCCATAGATTAATTGGGTCATTAACCTATTTCATTACAATCCTTATTTTCATTTAATTAGCAAAGACCCTAATTATTCTATTATCCAAATGCAAATGGAAGAAAATTTGTCCCAAGGGGGGCCAATTACCCAGACAGATTCATAGCGTTAGCTTGTGGACTCCGTTGCTTCTTTTTATTTTTTATTTTATTTGTCTTTTTTTTGGGCGTATAAAGACTCGGTTGCTTAAATATTGGCTTAAGGAGAAATTTAAGACGTTTATAGTTTTAAAGCATGAAAAAAATGATGAACCGTGGTGCATATTAAAGAAAAAGGCAAAATTTATTTGTAAATCTTCGTAGTTTTAATTATTTTTAATCAGATTTTTGTAGGGGTTTTTTTTTCATCATGTCCTTATAATTTTACTTGATTTTAATGAGGTCTTCATAGTTTTCTTTATCAAATTCTTGTAGTTTCATCATCTAACTTTTAATCAAATTTTTGTGTTTATCAGCAACTAGAAGCTAGAAACCTCACTGTAAATCAGGGATATAATGACCTAGTAATAAAGAATAAGATAATTAAAATTATTACCACTAGCCGATTAATTTTTTCCAGAAAAGGGGACTCGCAAGCTTCTTGACTTCTTCGACTGTATATATAAACGCCTCTCCTTGAAAGCTCAGACACAGCATTCCTCCTAGCCAAATCAGATCAGATGTTGCTAATATCAATTTTCTTCACTTCTGCGACTCTATCTATAAACTTCTCTCCATGAAAGTTCAAACACAACGTATTTCCTAGCAAAATACGATCGTAAGTTTTGAATTCTGGTGAATATCAGATGTTGCTACTATCCACTTTCTTCCTCTTCCTCTTGATACCCCATGCGTTTTCCTTAAACTTCATCTTCCCCAGTTTCAATCGCGATCATTATAACAATATATCGTTTGAATCAGTAGCTCACATTTCAGCTCACACCTCTACTTAACAACAAACCAAAGGGATCAATCCTCGAAAGTTACTAAAGGTCGAGCCACATATAAGCAAGAGATGCGCCTGTGGGACGAAGACACTGCGAAACTCGCAAATTTCAACACCAGTTTCACCTTCGTTATTGATTCACAGGGAAGTAGTTTGCTTGGAGATGGGCTGACCTTCTTCTTAGCCCCTACTGGTTCAAAGCTTCCTGATCGTAAAGACGTTGGAGGAGGTTCCATGGGTCTAATTATTGGAGGCAACGAAACGATACTTAATTCAACAGATCATCCTTTTGCTGCTGTGGAGTTTGATATTTATCCCAGTGTCGAATCTTACGATGGCTGGGATCCTCGGTATGTACATGTGGGTGTGGATATCAATTCTATGAAATCTACTAGTACTGCGCCATGGTATCCTAATATCACAGGAGGCGGACAAAATGAGGCTTTCATCAGCTACGATGCAAGTAAACATAATTTAACTATCTCCTTTACAAATTCTGGTCCTTCTGCCAACACTGTGTGGCAACATCTTCATGAAATAGTTGACCTGACAAGGTACCTGCCTGAACGGGTTACTTTTGGTTTCTCAGCTGCCACGGGACAAAATTTTGCAACACACAGGATCGACAAATGGAGTTTCTACTCAGATGAGTTCCCGAAAGATGCTCCCAGTCCAAACCCAAGCCCAAGACCAAGTCCCAACCCAAAAGGAAATGCCACAGCACTTGCAACAGGATTAGGGATTGGAGGGACTTTGGTTTTAGTTTGTGGGGTGCTGTTGTTTGCACTCTGGAAGAATAAAAATAATACGGAAGATGATGAGTCTAGTGAGAAAATGAGTGACGATTTTGAAAAAGGAACTGGGCCTAAAAAGTACTCAAATGCTGAACTAGTGAGTGCTGCAAATTATTTCAGAGATGAGCAAAAGCTTGGACAGGGAGGATTTGAGGGTGTTTATAGAGGTTTTCTCAAAGATTCAAACTCCTACGTGGCCATAAAGAGAATATCAATAGATTCTAAACAAGGGAAGAAGGAGTTTGCTTCAGAAGTAAGAATTATCAGCCAACTAAGACATCGAAACTTGGTTCAACTAAGCGGTTGGTGTCATGAAAGAAAAGAATTATTGCTAGTTTATGAGTACATGACACATGGAAGCTTAGATTATCATCTCTTCAATGACCAAAGCTTGTTGCCATGGTCAATTAGATTTAAAATAGCTCAAGGCTTGGCCTCTGCATTATTGTACCTGCATGAAGAATGGGAACAATGTGTTGTTCATAGAGACATAAAATCAAGCAACATCATGCTAGATTCTAACTTCAATGCAAAACTTGGAGATTTTGGATTAGCTCGGCTTGTAGACCACACAAAAGGAGCACAAACAACAGCTTTGGCAGGAACTATGGGCTATATGGCACCTGAATGTGTCACCACTGGAAGGGCTAGCAAAGAATCTGATGTCTATGGTTTTGGAGTTGTTGTTCTAAAGATACTTTCGGGAAGAGAACCCATCAACCCCAAGGCTCCAGAAGATGAAATAAACATAGTGCAATCGGTATGGGATCTCTATGGAAGTGGTAGAATCCTGGAAGCAATTGATCCAAGGCTGCAAGGAGATTTTGACCATGATCAAGTCGAATGCCTCATGATTGTTGGGTTATGGTGCGCTCATCCTGATCAAAATCGTAGGCCTTCAATAAGGCAAGCAATTCATGTGTTAAACTTCGAAGCTACAATTCCTAGTCTTCCTTCAAGTTATCCTATACCAACGTATGGTGAATTTCCGGTGCCCTTATCATTTTCAATTCTATCCAACGCCAATGTTTCAGAGGTAAGTCAAAACCAGAACATTAGCTTTAGTTCCAACACAAATTCTTCTGGTTTCACTACAACTTCTGATGAGAATGTTTCACCATGTGTATCACTTTTGCACTCGCACAAAAATTAATTATAGTTGTTCTTTGCTTGTATTTACTGCACAATATTCCTAATATATTATTCTCATTTCTTGTATGTGTAAGTTACTGCAATCTGGAAGTAAAACCATATGTGTAGAATTATATATGATCCTGTTGGAGCTTTACCTTGAAGATTCTATGCTGTTGGTTTTTGGGTTATATTGTTGCCTTTTCTCATTTAGTAAGAAACCGAAATTATGTTATGGTAATTCTCTTTTGTGCTCGTTCCACTTAATTGGAGGCTACTTAAACAAAGTCATTGCTAAAAGGGATATGATGTCATAGATTTTTCTTATAAATTGAAGAAAATTGTTACTACCTCTTATTAGCTAAATAATTAATTTGTCAATATTAAAAAAATTATTTTAATTAGTTATTTGTAACGAATGAGTATTGTTTTTTATAAAATACTCTTATTAACTATGTGCATTTACTAACCTTTGATAAAAACTTGTTAACATATGCAATCACCATAAAATTTACTTCTTCTGGTCCTTTTTATAAGAACCTAAAATTTGAATTCTATTGATCCTATTTATAAGATCTTGCTTGTAGTTGTCTAAACATTTAACGTGTTTTTACCATTTCTGCCCTTAATTAATTTTATATATTGCATTAGTTAAAAGGTTTACTATATTCTCTTTCATACTTTTTCTCTCTTACTTGCCCCTTATAAATAAGGGCATGGTTGGAAGAGGCGGCTTATTTCTTTCATATTTATTACTTTTAATTAATTTTAACTATTTTTTAAGACTATATGGTTCAGTTATTAGGCTCTTATAAAAAGGATAGGAGGGAGCACTTTGGAAAACATTGTAAATTTGCGAGACAAAATGAACTGAGGTCTTATATTTATAACCAAAATAAAACCTTGTCTAACTCTTACTCCTTTGAACCTATTTATACGGTAGAAAGATAAGACTTTTCTTGATCATATTCATAAATTACTTCATTAAATTTTTAGGATGAATATACTATTTTGTACTTTATTTATTATAGTATAGATAGTCATTTTTTTAAAAGTGTATATATTAAATAGGAGTAAAATTAAAAAGTTATTATATTTTAATTAAAAGTTAATCAAGTTCAAGATTTTTTTTCTTGTCTACGTAAAATCTGCTGGAAGTACCTTATAAATAAGATCAAAGAAATACTACTTCCGGTCTTAATTATAATATCTCATTTATAGTCTACAAATAAGGTCTTATAATTATGACCAAAGCTAATATATTAATTATGAAGCCCTTCCTCATACACGTAGTGATTCACAATTAGTAGATCCAAAAAAACATGGTATAAGCTGACTATTGAAGGAAATTTAAAAAAAAAGAGATTATATATGCTGGCCAATAAAATTGAAGTCGATTTAACCAATTATTAATTATGAAATTTACATGATTATGTGGGTGTTTAGCTGGAAACCAAATCACAGTTTTAAAGTGATTTTACAACATACAAAATAAGCCTACGAGAGGAGTTTTATCTAGGTTTACATAAAAGTGCTTTTAAAAAGCATTTTTGGAGGGAAATCAAACACTCCCTATGTTCAGGTCACATCTACAGTTAAAGTTATTTACATTAGTCTCGCAAATCTCTCATTTCCTAGCTTGCTTCAAATTACCCTATGTGGTCATCATCTTCAATTCTATCCGGCACCAATGCTTTAGAGGCAATTCAAGACGAAAACATAAGCTTTACTTCCAACACAAACTCTTCTATTATCTCCTGGAAGCTCGTTAGGCATACTCCAGGCTTTATAGTGATACTTAGAGATCACCTACCAATAAAATTCTCACATCAGTAGCTAGATTCGAACTCATGGTCTAACTCCCTACCCACTAAACCAATTCTTGTTGGCTAAATAAGTGTAGATTTTAGAATATTCTAGATTGAATTTATAAATATTTTATACTTATTTAATTATTTTGTCTAGTTGTCTAAATTTAATTATCGGTAAGAAAAGCAATTTTGCTTTAAAATCTATTCATTACAGGAAAAATAAAGAAGGGAAAATTAAAAAATAAATAAATAAAAAGAAAAAAAGGAGCAAATTTGGTGCGGATCCCACCCTGGAGCAATGGTGGAAAAAATCACAAAATTAAATGACATGGGTCTCACGAGAAGAAAAGGAAGCAACTAGCAAGGAGTGTGGGGGGGCAGAAGTCTCAGTGGAGGAAGGGACGTGAGCGAATGCTATAAATGCTCTTACGATTATAAGGGCCATCCAGTTACTATTATGAGTATTCTCTCTTAAAAATCGATATATATCGTTGTTTTAATGTAATGTTACGAGTCTCTGAGCTTTGCATTTTAAGAAACTCTTTATCTTTAACACGTTAGTTTTGTTTCCAAAATGTGTTATCTTTAATATTCGATACTCTTCTTATCTTTAATATATAATGTAATTTAAGAGTTAATATTAGCCTTATATGTAAGACCTATTTTATATATTTATTAATTTTTTTTCAAATTAATTCTATTGATATTCTCTTACTAATAATCAAGTAGGAAAGGGAGGGGGAAATGGGAATTAAAGAATATAATTAAAGTGTTTTAGAAAGAACATATCATATTAACTAATTTAATTAATATCCTTAATCCACTTAAATTAATTAATTAGGTATTACATTAAAAACTTTTCAAGCCTAATCTCACCGAGAGAGATATTAATAGAGGGTTGCATTTAGATGATAAAAGTTACGGAACTTAAAATACAACTTTGGATGCAAGAAGATTGATTCTCAACCAGAAGGACCATTGATGGCTAGCTGCTCCGGGGGTAATATGAAGGAAAGGGGAGCCCAGTTGACGTACATGCCAGATTGATAGCCATTGGCTTAGGGATTGGTCGCTATTCAAAATTGATGCCTTCTCTAATGGGACAAAATTTAAGAAAGCCATGACTAAGATAAAAACGCGTGGAGAAACACACCTAACCATTGTGGGGCAAGAAAAAGCACTAGCAAGTTTATTGATTATTCCTTCATCTCCACGAACATCTCACCCTGAAAAGATTTAGCAGAATAAGTTTCAGGTGAAGATGTTGCTAGTATCAGTTTTCTTCCTCTTGATCCCCCATGTGCTTTCCTTAACCTTTAACTTCACCGAATTCCGGGGCGATGACAACATGACTTTAGAAAAATCAGCTCGTCTGCAGGGATCATCCATCGACTTGGTAACTCCGTTCACTGACGGTGTCGGGCGAGCAACATATCACCTACCGATGCACTTGTGGGACAAAGCCACCGGGAAACTCACAGATTTCTCCACCAACTTCACCTTTGTGATTTTTTCAAATAACAGCCTCAACGAGTCTGGCGATGGGATGGCCTTCTTCTTAGCCCCTAAGGATTCAAAGCTCCCTAATATTCCAGAAAGGGGAGGAGGTGGTTTGGGTCTGATAAGTCTGATTAATGCAACAGATCTTCCATTGATGGGTCTGAATAATTCAACAGATCATCCATTTGTTGCTGTGGAGTTTGATATCTTTCGCAATTACTGGGATCCTCCGTATATACATGTGGGTGTCGATATCAATTCTACTAATTCCGTTAGTTCTGTTCAATGGGACGCTGATATCAAAGGAGGCAGAACAAATGAGGCTTTCATCAGCTACAATGCAAGTACGCATAATTTAAGCATCTCCTTCACTGATGGTTTTGATCTTTCTAACAACACTGTGTGGCGACATCTTCATCACATAGTTGATCTACGAGAGTACCTGCCTGAATTGGTTACTTTCGGTTTCTCAGCCGCCACCGGACGATACTATGCAGTACACACGATCGATAGATGGAGTTTCCACTCAGAGGACCTCCCAACTGTTGCTCCTAGTCCAAGTCCAGTACCAAGTCTAAGCCCGAGCCCGAGCCCAAGCCGAACGAGTAGAAATTACACAGCACTTGCAACAGGATTAGGGGTTGGAGGATTACTGTTAGTTGTTGGGGCGGCATGGTTTGTGTTGTGGAAGAACAAAAAGAAAATGGAAGATGATGATTCTAATGAGAACATAAGTGAAGATGATTTTGAAAGAGGAACAGGTCCCAAAAAGTATTCATATGCTGAACTAGCAAGTGCTGCAAATTATTTTAAAGATGAGCACAAGCTTGGACAGGGAGGATTTGGAGGTGTCTACAGAGGTTTTCTCAAATATTCAAACTCCTATGTTGCCATAAAGAGAATATCAGAGGGCTCTAAACAAGGGAAGAGGGAGTTTGCTTCGGAAGTAAGAATTATTAGTCAACTAAGACATCGAAATTTGGTGCATCTAATCGGTTGGTGTAATGAAAGGAGAGAACTATTGCTAGTTTATGAGTACATGCCAAATGGAAGTTTAGATTCTCATCTTTTCAAGGACGAAAGGTTGCTGACATGGTCAATTAGATTTAAAATTACTCAAGGCTTGGCCTCTGCATTATTGTACCTGCACGAAGAATGGGAACAGTGTGTGGTCCATAGAGACATAAAATCAAGCAACATCATGCTAGACTCAAACTTCAATGCAAAACTTGGAGATTTTGGATTGGCACGGCTTGTAGACCACACAAAAGGAGCACAAACTACAGCTTTAGCAGGAACCATGGGCTATATGGCTCCTGAGTGTGTTATCACTGGAAGGGCTAGCAAAGAATCTGATGTCTATAGCTTTGGAATTGTTGCTCTAGAGATAGTTTGTGGGAGAAAACCCATCAACCCAAAGGCTCCAGATGATGAAATAAACATAGTGCAATCGGTATGGGATCTCTATGGAAGTGGTAGAATCCTGGAAGCAGTTGATCCAAGGCTGCAAGGAGATTTTGACCATGATCAAGTCGAATGCCTCATGCTTGTTGGGTTATGGTGTGCTCATCCTGATCAAAATCGCAGGCCTTCAATAAGGCAAGCAATTCATGTGTTAAACTTTGAAGCTAAAATTCCTAGTCTTCCTTCAAGTTATCCTATACCAACGTATGATGAATTTCCGGTGCCCTTATCATTTTCAATTCTATCCAATGCCAATGCTTCAGAGGTAAGTCCAAACCAGAAAATTAGCTTTAGTTCCAACACAAACTCTTCTGGTTACGCTACAACTTTCTGATGATAATGTTTCACCAAGTGTATCACTTTTTTACTCTCGCAAAAGTTAATTACGGTTATTGTATGTTCTCGTAACATTTAAGTTTGTGTAATCTGAAAAAAATAAAACAGGTATTGAAAACTTACATGTTGGATTTTCACCTTGAGATTATATATATACTGTTGCTTTTTGTGTAATGATGTTTCCTTTTCTTAATTTGCAAGAAACCAAAATTATGTTATTGCTTATTTCTGCTCATCCCAGTTTGAAGCTGCTTAACCGAAGTCATTGCAAATGGTATATGATGTGGTAGTATTTTTTAATAAGTTAAAGAAAATAAACACTTCCACTAATCTTTACTACAAACATCTAATAAAAACTTTACATAAATTAATAAAATTAGTTCAAGTTAGTTATTTCTTGTAAAATATTAAAATTACTCTCAGTAGAAGTCATTAGTTAAAGCATGGTTAATTAGTTAGAAAGTTTTATAATTAGTTACGAATAGTGGGTGTCAAATATTAATGCTATAAACAAAAAAAGGTATATTCTAAAACATTATACTCTGGTGGATTTTATGATGACGAACTGTGGAATAATAGAAGAAGAGGACAGGTGAGGCCCCACGGAGTTGCATAACGCATATGGATCACTAAAAACGTCATTGATCAGGTTCATAGTTACAAAATTTAATCAAAGTCAAGTCAATTCCCTTCCACTACGAAGCCCTTCCTCAAACACGTTATCTGACTTTACTAGACATTATCATAGAAGACTCGGTTGTCCTAATCGGATGAGACTTGATCACTATTGCAGGAAATCAAGGGGGAAAAAAAAGAAATAAATAAATTATGCTGACCAAGAAAAGCTAAGTCAATGTAATCAATTCTTAATTACGAAATTTAATTTTCAATATTATTTTCAAGTCACATCTAAATCACGACCACTGGATTTCACCAGCCAATAAATTCCTACTTGCATAGCAACCCTCCTGCAAAACCAACCGAGTTTGACGACACTCTGCATTTATGGAATCGTTTCGATAGCTTTAGATGAATAGCAACAAGTTATTTGGTGTTATCTGCTATGAGCGCACTTCAATAGTCGGTTTCCACTTATTGGAAGAACCGAGTTGACTTCTCTGTCCTTGACTTCACAGAGTCAAATAGGATAATTGAGGGGGCAAAATAGCTAATTGCACGTGCGCAAGTTTCTTAGCTTCCCCTTATAGATTGGGGGTTTAGAATCTACGACCTAACCTGTATTTGGCTTGACCTAGTCTAATCTGTTTAAAATTAAAAGCAAGCTCAAGTTGTTTAGCTTAACATGTTAGGCGTAAACTCTTTGAAAAGCCAATTAAGCCTATGAGACTAGGATAGGCTTGTTATAAATTTATAATTATAATAATATGAGAAAATTAGTTGATACTATTATCTTTAATATTCTCTTTTAATTTATTTTTTTATACATAATTAATGTTTTATTGGATTTTGAAATTTAGTTTAACGATATAATTTAAAACAGCAATATCAATAAATAATATGATCTTTAAATCGTAAAAACATAGATCAACGAAAAATTTATTCTGCAAGGATAGTTAAAAACAAAGGGAAGAATTTTGTTTGGAATTCTTTGATAGAAATTTGGAACGAAAGGAACAATCAGCATGCGTTGCACAGTTCCCCCCCCCCCCCTCTTTTGATAAAATCAAACTACGCATTGACGGACAAAAGTGAAGGACAAAAACTTAGAGAGCATGTCCCTTACATCAAGTAAGAGGCGTAAAAGAGTACAGGGGATGACGCTCTAGCTTAGCAAAATTCAAATATGCGAAGATTTAGTTAAGTTACAAATCAAAGGAAATGGCGTAAGGTGTGGGACAACGTTCTGATTGAATAAGAAAGTAAGTGCAGATCGTAAAGCCAACAGTTGAAGTTGCAAAGGTCGAAGCCTCATTGGAGGAGAAATCCACCAATCATGCAGAATGTCAACAATGAGACAAGCTTACGCAAGAATCTGACGACGACCTCGAGTGGGTTTGGTAATATGTAAATTAAGAAGCCAAAAACTGTAAGATAGACAACGGAGATCAGACCACTGAAGGGGTTGAACATTTCTTGTTTGTTGGCACATATTGTAGGGCAAGAATGTTGAGGATAGAGAACAGAAGCTTGTGCTTTAGATAGTGCCGTAGAAATTACATGTTCAGGAGAATATCTTTTCCCTGCATATAAACCATAATATATCCAAAATATGAAAGGGCAATCTAAAGGGGGAAGAAGCTACCTCCATGTTCTAAGTCATCCAAAACCACAATTATTGAGGTAAATCAGAGTGAACTAGGGAAACAATTTGAAAACCTAAAGCACTACCAAACTAACAAGCTCTGGAAAAGAGGCAGTGAAGAAAAAGGTGTTCAAGAGATTCATTTGCATCAGAGTAGAAATAACAAACCTCCACATTGGTGAGATGGCGATTCTTGAGGAACGCAGTGTTTGGTAGAATTTGTGTGACAATCTTCCAGAGCAAAAGTTTGATCCTGGGCAGAATAGGCAATTTCTAAATTTAAGGGCATAAAGAAAATTGGCGAATGGAATTAACAATAGATGGATTTGCCATAAGCATACGGTAACCATATTGAACAGTATAAGTGCTTGAAGTATTTCCAACCCATCTCAAACAATCCATAGGTTGTGAAGTGACTGGATACTGAGTAAATTCATAGACGATATTTGGAGGGTATAAATTTCTCAGAACAGGCAAATTCCATCGACATCGGGGGCGCAGTATAAGGTTAGAAGCCTTTTAAAGAAGAATATGAAAGAGCTGACTGCTGCTTCAAAAGCCACAAGAACCTGTTACTAGGGGAAATAGAAGTACTATCACCAACTTGTCAGGATAGGTGCTCCAAAATAATATCACTTGCTCTGACAATTTGTTTCCGTAAAGCAGAACTGTTGTATTTAACATGGAAATGAAAACCTCAGTCTGCATCTAGATACTTAGAAGACATGAGTCGAAGCAATCTCACTTGCTCATCCTACTGCTAGTGCCACGGAATCTCTACGTTGCACGAACATTAGATAGTTAGTGGCTATTTTCTTTCCTCAGTGATCTTCTTTGCATTTTCCTGAGAACTGCTATACATATTGCGGAATAAAATGCACTTCTCACTAAAAAAAGGAAAAGAATTGATAAATTAATTAATATGCTAATCAAATTATGATACCCCTTTCTTCATGTAAAGTTAATTTTTCTCTCTATATATTTGTCTTAAATTTAATTTTAATTTTATACTTATATCTAGTTTTATTTCAAATTTTAACATATAATTATAATTTTTTAATAATATTCTTAAAATGGTACTTATGAGAGTAAAGTTTAAATAAAAGACAAGACTAAAAAATAATTATTATGCAGTAGGAATATTTTATCTGTATCTTTTTTACTATGCAATCTAAAATTTTGTAAAATTACACGCTTTTTTAATATGCTTCAGGCCAGGATAGTCTTTTGTACAGGCCATACTTCAATCTAGGCTTAGGCCAGTTTATTACTAGACAGGCCTAATTGTTAAGGATAAAGTTTGGTCTAATTTGGCCTGTTTCCACCTTTACTTGTAGACTCGTTGATCTTAAATATGACTTTCCTAATGGGCCAAAAAAAAATTGAAAAGATAATATTAGAATATTTTCTCATTAGCGTAAATACTGTTATCCGTATCATTAGTGTAGGATCGAATGTATATACTCAGTTCTTGATCACGAATAGAGACAAGAAATTTCCTATACAACCCTATAAAAATAAAAACAAAGGACAAGAAATTTTCCCATTAATATTATTCTTAATAACGATATAATAAGTTTAAGTATATTATAAGGATAAGATAATGTATTACTCCTTACTGTATTATAATTTATAAGGGTAACGATAATAGTATAACATATAATGAGGCAGGTTCTTAGCCTTGACTCGCAGACCCGGTAAAAGTAGAGGGCGGAAATTGCTTGAGAAACGTGAAAGTCTTGGAATTAAATGACGAAACCGAATGTTTGATTTTTTTTTTTAAAAAAAACTAATTCTTCTAACCAGAAGAAGATTCAAATGTGACTTTTATCGCTAAGGTTGAAAAATAAATAATAAGAAAATTAAGCTTGATATTAATAATTTTATAAATCTCTTAGATGACTGCTTGAGAGAAGTTAATTCTTCATCATTGAAAATGAATTAATATTTCAAAAAAATCTTAAATATAACTTCACCGAATTTGCCTGCCTAAATATGATTTTCCGTAGTTGGTTTTTCCTGGCTAATTAAAGAGCACTGAAATAATCAAAAACATCATCAGATGAACAAGTCGCTATAGACAGGGTCATTGTTTTTATTTAATCACCCTGAAAGATTCACAGCATTGGCTTGTGGACTCGGTTTTGGTCTTAAAAAATTGATGACTTCACCTATTGGACCATGCAAAGCGAAGATGCAGAAATATAAGACATTTGTTAGTTTCAAAAACATGAAAATTGACGAACCGCGGGGGTGAAAGAACAACAACACACAAGTTTCTTGACTTCTTCGACCCAATATATAAACGGTACGCCTCTCCATGAAACCTCAAACAAAACAAATTTCTTAGCCAAATCAGATGTGATGTGGCTAGTATCATCAGTTTTCTTCCTCTTCATACGCCATGCCTTTTCCTTAAACTTCACCTTCACCAGTTTCCAGCCCAATGATCATAACAAGATAACGTGCGAATTATCAGCTTACATTGCAGAACCATCCATCTACTTAGTAAGAAACCAAAAGGGACAATCCTCGCAGGATAGTCAAGGTCGAGCCACATATAACCAGGCGATGCACTTGTGGGACAAAGCCAGTGGGAAACTCGCAAATTTCAACACCAATTTCACCTTCGTGATTGATTCACTGGGCAAAACTGTTTATGCAGATGGGCTGGCCATAGGTTCAAAGCTTCCTAATCCCCCAAAAGTTGGAGGAGGTGCTTTGGGTCTGATTGT